CACCGCTTCCGTGCCACCAGGGTGAAAATCGTGTCGAGGAAATAACCGCCTCTTTACGACCCCCCTCCAAAACATGGACTCTGATACGACCCCTTTTTGTCCTCTGCACATCCGGTTTCATATCAAAAAATGCTAGTTTCAGATGTGCGAGAGGGACGCAGCGCCACTGCCACGCAAATGCGGCTTGATCCAAATGCTAGATTCAATTCTGCTCAGATTAGGTTCCTTCTTTCCTTTAAAGACATTTAACCTTTGCCACATTGGCCGGAAAGTAGAACATTGAAGGAGGTACTGCCCCTACACAGTTGAACAGTCTCGCGCTCCAGTATAGCGGCGCTAACTACCCGCGATCGCGTCGCGCGCTGTGCCTAGAGCGCGCTAGTTGGAAAAATCGTCAAATGTACCCCCTATTTAAAGGACTATAACTTTCTTCATTGATAACCATTTCAAAAAGTGAAGGCAGCTTTTGAATGCACAAGACTTCTAGTTTCTAAATTGTGCTGAGCGTTTTTCTAAGCACACCTATTCTCGAGAGGGAGACGTCGAGAAATTGTCGAGGAAATTGAAATTTACATGCGAGTTCCCACTCTTAGGAAGACAGTAGCTGTCTTCATTGGCAATGCTTTTGAAAATACGACGAAACAACATTGTTAATAGAAGATTACGTTTAACACGTTGACGACATTGTGCAGCGCATGCGCATCACACCTTGAGCACCGTGTGGGACCGTGTGCAGCGCATGCGCTGCACACACAAAATATTTATTTTTTTCGCGCATGCGCTACTTCTTTTCTAATTTTTTGCATCTATTCTATAGACTACACCATAATATGACTAGACACGGCGAGGTTCATTGAATGGTTGAATATGCTCCTTTTTAGCGAAGGTTTTCTAAGCCCTATGTTCGTTGTAATCACTAATTCTGAAGAAAACTGTCCTTCGTGATGATCCCATTTCGTGTTCCTATCAGTGATCCTCTCTACTAGACCGTAGCAGTTCCTTGTGTTTTAATTCACATTTCATCAAGATATGTCACTTAGCAGTGAGATAACATGCAAAACTTGCTTCCGTCATTAAAGGAATCCTGCACGGAAAAATCATGATTCTATTTCAGCCATAAATCACTGGCTTGAGACCCATTATCCACGATAAGAATGAAAAGAACGAAGTATTGCTTTGTTTTGGTAAAAATTCGAAAACCGAAAGGGCTGCTACGCGTTCAAAGTACCGCCGGCACATCTGTCACAAATGCTGGCGACGGGGATGCTTCCACTTGGTTCTTGGAGTGCCGTCACTAGAAACTCTTTCTGGCCTTTTGACTTATTGCATTCACATTGCGTCGCCTGATACGTAGGCGCCCCGTGCGGACTTCTTTCCATGCCCCGCCTTTGGCTCCGCCCGAATTACCTTCGATTGTCCATAGAATTTTTTGAGTTTGTTTCTCTTCGGAAACCGAATCTTCATGCGTGAAACTTTGTGTATTGTTTCTAGTGATCACAACTGACACATTCATGTTGAGAAAGAATGCAAGAATTTTCCGCGAAGGATTCCTTTAATATAGGCACACCAGTGTAGGTATATTGTTCCAGTTTGAAATGCCATCTAGAGTGGACACTGAGTAGTGTTCTGAACAATCATGTCAACAACTTACTTGATTTAATTTCTCTGTGCTGTTTGTCATTGTCTTCTCAATTTTCCACGGCATTTCCATTTTTATCGTCTCATTGTTGAATCTTTTTCAACCATTGCAGCAAATAAGGAGGTTTCGAAGGTTTGCTCCAGCTTTTCAAACAGTCCTTCAGCCGAAGCAGCGAGCGAATTGTTCCATCTCTATAGAAATTTCATTAATAAGCTTCTGGGTATAACAACTTGTCCAAAATCTAGAAGAATTGTTCAGTATCCACTCCAAATGTGAATGCGCTCCTGCGACAAATCTCATCCTACAGGAGTAAGTTCATGTGCAGGATTCGCAAAACACATGGTAACGAAGCAGACGTAACAAAAACGTGCAATTTGAAAAGAAATGATGTCTTTATAGTTTTGGCCTTACATCGTAGCAACGGGACAGCTGTTAAATTATTAGAGATGTTGACTTACTCGAGGCTTGGGGAAAAGAGTACTTTGCTTGGCTACACGAAGAGATAGCCGAAGAATTTTGGCCAACTTATTGTTGAAGGACTTCGTCGGAGTTTACGTATTACTTCATTTCAGCTGTAAGCTTTTTGAACTGATGCAATGGATTGACTCGCGAAGCTGCTTTAAAGGCAGAATTTACGATGAAAAGTTAGCTTTTCGGAAGTAAGGGTAGAGGTGGTCAGTGGATTTAAAGGCCCGGAACCCGAGAAATGGTACCCCTTCCTTGCCCGTTGATTTGAACACTGATGCGACTCTCATCGCTGTGCCCTCTTGCAACACTACGCTCTCTCTGCTATCTGAATCACGGAAAATGTTTCGAAACGGTCGTAGAAGGTTCGTAGAACAAGAAGCGCAACGACTATTCCGACAACCTAATATTACTTTTATGGCGCACAACTACACACATTTAGTGCCACTCAAGCGAACCTGGACGGATGGTATGTTTCGACGAGGGCTGAGCGAATTTGATCTACTGAATAAACACAAAACAGGTTTCTTTTTTCGTTCCATGTATCTTCAAAAATGGACTAACCTCAGAAATATTTTTCCCGACAACGCCTACAATCACATTCCGAGTTGAACTAGAGGTTGAGGCACATTTCCCCGGGCCATGTGCTGTTATTTTCTGTTCCTGGAACGACCACTGCCTAAAGAGAGCATTAGGAAAAGCCAGGAAAAGCCTATACTGTAACAGGATTCCGAATTCTGATAGAGTGTGACTGCTCCACCTACCTTCCGTACCGACGTTGAGGAACAGATAGGACAGCGCCGCGACAGTGAACAACATTCTAATTGTGACAAAGTACCGTGCTTCTACCCCTTTTATGGGCAGGAATGAAGCAACGATCATCCAGCCTCTCGCACAAATTTGCAATGTATTTCTTCAAACCATCCCAGAACTGTTTGAACAGCTCACACATTGCATTAATATGTTAACAAGGTGAATTGAATCAAGGGGCACCGCACTTGCAAGGCTAAAAACCGCTCTTCTCCTGCCGTTTGTTTGACGTTCGTCTAGCCAACAAATCGAAACATCGAAGGCATGTCTGTCCA